ATCCAGCCCTCAAAACCGACCCTCCTCTCTGGAGGCATTAATTACGGCTGCGGCGACTCGGAGCTAATCCCTCCGAAGAAGCCGTGCCTGCATCAACAGTCTCTGCTCCCTTGAACTAAGGACTAATTTGAAACGTGTCGTCCTCCTTCTCCTCCTCCTCCCATCTCCTGACACAAATCCCTTTCGGCGCTGTCCTGATGCCACCCCGGTGACGGCTCCGGGATCACAGGCTAAAACCTCCCTGGATTTCTGCCACGGCCACCAGCTGCCCCGAGGGCTCGGTGGATTTGGGGGGGAATTAATGCGGAATAGCCCAAACCAGGCTGAGTCTCGCAGGGATGTGAGGGGATGGCATTCACCGCCAGCTCGTACGAATGCTGGGCTCTCAACCCAGGCAAAAAAACCACTTTTTTGGGGGAAAAATGGGCAAAAAAAGGAGGCCCTAATCCTCTATTTGCCCTAAAGGAGGGGAAAATAGTGATAATCTCCTGCGTGGAGCCAAGGAGGATCGGGAATGCTGGAGGGGTCGGCACCCACCATCAGCTCGTATGAATTCTGGGTCTTAACCCAGGCAAAAAGCCCTTTTGGGGGAGAAGGGGCAAAAAAAGCATACCCTAATCCTGTATTTGTGCAAAAGGAGGGGAGAATAGTGATATTCTCCTATGCCGAGCCAGGGAGGATCGGGGATACTGGAGGGGTCGGCACCCACCGTCAGCTCGTATGAATTCGGGGTCTTAACCCAGGCAAAAAGCTCTTTTTTGGGGGGAAAATGGGCAAAAAAGGAGGCCCTAATCCTGTATTTGCACAAAAGAACAGAAAAATAGTGATATCCTCCTGCATGGAGCCAAGGAGGATCGGGAATGGCGGAGGGGTCGGCACCCACTGCCGGCTCACGTGGACAGTGGGTCTTAACCTAGGCGAAAAGCCCTTTTTGGGGGTGAAAATGGACAAAAAAAGGAGGCCCTAATCCTGTATTTGCACCAAGGGAGGTCAAAATAGCGATGATCTCCTCCTGTGCAGAGCCAGGGAGGATCGGGAATGGCGGAGGGGTCGGCACCCACTGCCGGCTCACATGGACAGTGGGTCTTAACCCAGGCGAAAAGCCCTTTTTGGGGGTGAAAATGGACAAAATATGAATTCTGGGTCTTAACCCAGACAAAAACGCCTTTTTTGGTGGGAGGAAAGGGCAAAAAAGGAGGTGCTCATCCACTATTTGCACTAAAGAACAGTAGAATAGCGATATCCTCCTGCACGGAGCCAAAGAGGCTCGGGGATACTGGAGGGGTCGGCACCCACCGTCAGCTCATGTGAACTCTGGGTCTTAAACCAGACAAAAAGCCCGTTTTGGGGAGAAAAAGGGGCAAAAAAAGGAGGCCCTAATCCTGTATTTGTGCCAAAGGAGGGGATAATAGTGATATCCTCCTATGCAGAGCCAAGGAGGATCGGGGATACTGGAGGGGTCGGCACCCACCGTCAGCTCATGTGAATTCTGGGTCTTAACCCAGGCAAAAAGGCCTTTTCTGGAGAGAAAAGGGGCAAAAAAAGGATACCTTAATCCTGTATCTGTGCCAAAGGAGGGGAGAATAGCGATATCCTCCTATACAGAGCCAGGGAGGCTCGGGGATACCAGAGATAACGGGAATGGTTTTCCCAAGGGTTGTTCCTGCCTCTCCGGGTGGGAGAGAGGAGGGACCCTCAGGGCCCCTCGTGCATCTCCCCCGTCAGACCCGGGGCGCTCTCGGGGCAGGGGGGGGCTGCGCGCATCGGCTCCCAGGGCACGGCGAAGCAAAGCCATGCAGAATCCTTCCCCCCTGCCGACCCCGGCAGCCGGAGGCATCCGGAGAAGGGCAAAGGCAGGGGAGGGGGGGGGGCTGCAGACCACCAGCTACTCACTGCGAGCCGGTAATTCTGCATCATTTTATCAAATTCCTCATCAATCTTTTTATATTTCTCTTCCGTCTGCGGGGTCAACGCAAACACTTCATCCCCTTCCGGGCTCTCGCACTCCCTGTGCTTCTTGTTCAGCGCCTGTTACGTTTTGGGGACGGGGGACGGGGACACGGGGGAAGGGGTGTCGGGGAGGGGACAGGGGACGAGGTCGGGGGGAAATCGAACAGAAGAAAAACAAAACAAAAAAGAAAAAAAAAAAAAAAGAACATATAATGAAGGTTTTCCGGCCACGGGGCAGGTACTTACACCGTATCGCTTGAACAGGATATCCAGATCCTCGCTGCCTTTACGGTATTTATCCTCCATCAAGGGGCTCTGGTCTATCGAGTCATCGCCGTCGGGCTCCGGGCTGTCACAGCCGTTAAAACCTTTCTTTCTTAACGTCTGAAAACACAATCGGGATAGTTTGAGATCTGGGAGTGGGGACGGAACGGGCGGCCCCCCCCCCCCCTCTTCCCGAAACATCCCCCGGACTCGCCCAAGTGAACACCTTCGCCCCAAGATGTCATCGACCTCGATTGGGGAGTCAGGATCCGGCCCCTCGGGTTAATTAGAGACACGCCGGGGTGACTCTAATTAAGGAATTACAACGCGGGGATGGATGGAGAGCGACTTCTTTGCTTTCAAAGGACCTGTTTACGCCGGAGCAGAATTTGGCCCCGTCCCAGCTCAGACGCATCCGTCACCTACGATGACTACAACGACCAGGAGGGGAAACAAACCTCGACGGTATCTGCTCTCCTGCTAAAAATAAGGAAAAACCGTCTTAAAAATGCGGGCGGGGGGAAGCGGAATAATAAAATAATAAGCAAAACCAGGCGGGTGGCAAAGGTCGGAGCGCAGCGAGGGACCGCGGCACGGCGAGCCCTGGGGGAGGTGACACGGTGAGGGGGTGACGGGGACAAAGCCCCGCGCCGCGCCGAGACCAGCAGCAAAGGTGCTGCAGCGCGTTAACGATGCGCCATCTCCTCCCTTCGTTAACAGCCGCCTGGTTAATCACGCGCTCGGGCTCCGCGCGGGGTCGGGTGAAAAGCCCCAAAAGTTCCTCTGTGGTGTTCGGTAGCCAATTCGCAGCTTTGCGTTCCGCACGCACATTTAATCAGTCTATTTTCAAAATACCAAAAGCAATTAGGCGTTATTATGGAACCAGCACTTGCCAATTTCTCTCTTTTTTTTTTTTTTTAAAGTTTTTTTTTTTTTTAGAAGTCAAAGCTACAGAATTTCCTGGAAGTCTTCAGCTCTTTTCATGCCAAATTCAGCAGGGGGGGGGGAAAAACAAAACAAAACAAAACAAAAAACCAACCCCCAAAAAAGCGCCTCGACAATTCTCCTCTGTCTTCCTAAACAGCAATAAACATCTCTGTTTTGAGGCCAAAACGGATCCTGGAGTGGTTCGACACCTACCCGCGAGCTCCGGGAACCACGGAGTTTGTACGGGGAATATTTGCTGGAGCGATCAAGCACCAAACCCACCCCTCAGTTTTCCATCCGCCTGAAGCTTTTCCCGATATTTTCAATTAAAATTACTCCTTCTTTTCATTTTACCGCTCGTTATTTCACCAGCAGAGGGGAAAAGTCCTCACCCACGTCCAGTTCCCCCAGCGAAGGTGCTGGTTCGCTCCTGACCGTGGCGGCATCTAAAGCCCTGTTTGGCATCACCGATAATTCCCGCTACCTGATAATTAGTACCTAATTACCGAATAATAATCCCTGGTACCCCTAAGTTTTGTAATTTATTGTCTCTTTACGGAGAAGGGCAGTGGGAATCCGAGTCACTGGCATAAACGGGAGGTTCCCAGGGCTTTTCCTGCAGGTTCCCGAGGATTTTTTTCCTATTATTTTGCTATTTTTGTACGTGTCCTTGTTTGTTTTTAGAACGGGCCAAAAAAAAGGAACGGGTGCTGCCGGTGGGGAAGGAACAGCTTTAACAACTTTGCTTTTTTTTTTTTTTTTGGTGGAAACTGCTTTTTGCGAATTTTTTTTTTTTTTCCAAACCCTTTTGTTTCGCCGCTGCAGCCGAAAGACGGGAAAGTTGAGCTTTACTTTCAAAAAACAAAACAAAAAAAAAACCAAAGTCTTTTTTTCCCTCCTCCTCTTTCTCTTTCAGAGGCAAAATGGAAAAAAAAAAAGAAAAAAAAGTTGTTCCGTGAGCAGTGGAAGGGATGAAGCCGGGTTTCCTTTGGGAGCCGGTTGGGGAGATTCTCTGGTGTCTAATAGGGGGCTGTGCCCACCTCGCGGCGGTTCACTTTGCCGGGGTGGTAACAGAGACCTCTCGCCTCTGCCGTCCCATCCCTGCTGGGGAAAGGTGACGGTAATTCCTTGCATCCCTGGAAGCCCCCTCTCCTCTGCCAAAGGCTTCCAGCGGGTTCGGGAGTCGGGGAGATCGGACAAGCAACCTCCGTCCCCCAGCGCCCTCGAAGATGGGAACCTCACAACCGAATTTTCAAGCCACGACATCCTTCTCCTTTCTAAAATCTGCAGCAGCGAAGGGGCCCAGGAGGTTTTTCCGGCTCCCCCACCTCTGCCCCGTATTTACCGCAGGGAAAAGCAATGGGCGGCCACTGCCGGCTGCAGCGTTTTGCCGTTTCGAAAATCCGGGTGAAATCATCCCGGGGAGTTATTCCCGCAAGGAGGAAAAGCGGAGCAACGGGGCGAACCCAGCTCCATTCGCCCAGACCCAGAAAACCCTCTCCGAGCAGCTCACGGCATCTCTCCGCGTTTCCAAAAGTCCTTCTCTCTGTGGGTCTAATACATTTGGTGGTGGCGGCGATGCCCCCGTCCC